CAGTGAGCAGCTGTGCAGGGCCTTCCTCTTGTTGTTCGCTGTTCGTTGTTCGCCCGAGTTCTAGAGCAGACGTGATAGCCAGCCAACTGTCCAACAGGGCAGCTTAGGACAGATGTGACCGCTTACCAGCTGCGTGTGCTAAGCACTCTAAGAACCCGGCGTCACTCCTGCCTTTGCACAACGAGGGTTTGTGCAGGGTTTCTCAACCTCCTGGGACGAGCTGGATGGGGTTCCAGCGTCCCTACTCTGCGGTAGTTCGTTTAGCCGCAATATCTCTCCCTTGGGTTCGATAAATGAGCGTTTCCAGGGCACACCACGAGGAGGCGAACTACTTCATGCCCCAGTTCGTTGTGTCTAGAATAAGTCCGAATGCGGTGTTGGATGAGACGTAGCCCCACCTGGGTTCAATCCCAGTCGGCGCCGCCAGGATGTTCTGAGGCATAACATCTCTGATCACCTGCAGTACTTGCCTTAAGTGTTCGCAGTTTAAAAACGAGGAATCCCTCAATTATTCGATGCGTGGGACGAAAACTTTGCTGTTCTACAGTAAATAAATAGCATTATACTTGTACTGAACTTCATTTTATTTTTATTGGATTTAAGGATTTTTTAAGTGAATTGTGTGTAAAATCTTTGAAACTGGCATCTCTATCGGGTGCTAATTGAACCGTGTGTGTTTTTTTGCAAACGCGATGGCAGAATATATCAAAATTAAATACCACTACTACCGTTACCGATCAAACGACCACCGATGAGTAAGTGTGAAACCCTACCACAGTTGTTTGGAAGAAAGTGAACCACGTTACCACTTCTTTGAATTCTACTAGTGTTTGTAACTGACTTTCGCAGTTCGCAGCGCAGAAAAAAAGCACCAGCAGCAGTTGTTAAGTAAGTAAACTGTATAAATTTGTACGTATATCGATAGGTGAGGTAGGATAAGAAACCCAAAACAAACAACAACCACACGAGTGTGGCTCACCAGACGAGATCGTCAGTAGTATCTACAGCAGATTGCAATGTTTACGAGAGTTACGTGCAAGCTGTGAGCAAACAAGCAAGCAACAGTGCTCTTATCGTTCATCAATTAGCATTTATAACGAGTCGTGAACACAGTCTCATCGGAATTCATTTGAATAAATATAAGAATATTCTTTTCGAAATTTTAAATGCCACCACAAACGTCATGGTGTTAATTGTTCGCAATAATAACTGGCGTAAAGTAAATGATAGGTATTTAATTAATGTGTCAGCAAACATTCGAAAAAAAATCATATCCAAAATATTGTTTTAGAGTTATGAGTACACTCAGAGTGGAATTTTAAAGTGAACGATTCAACTTTAGACAAACAGACATAACACTCACCATCACATTCATCGCAAATAAGGTTTTAGTTGGGAATGTGCTTGCATTTGTCATAGTGGCGCAACTGGAGCGCTAAGCAAGCCATTACATTTCGAACTTATCAGTAATGCCAGTTCTTTTTCAGGTCGATTTAATAAATGTCAGCTCTTGATAATGATAAGGGGACCAAGGCATCCCACTGGAGATATATACAGTAATGACCCGATTTTGCCAGTACCTTTGTTGAAAATCTTTCCTAATATTCTACGAAACCCATGCGCTTTTTCAGTGGTCTTATTGGACCAAAGTATCCTTAAACACCCACCTTGAAGATGCATGAGAATGATTTGGAATTACGATTTTATGAAATTATTTAATGATAAAATTATTTACTGTACCACATACTAATCTGACGAATACAAAAAAAATGTTGAATATTACAACCAAACAGTCGATTGGTCATACCATTTGTCGTGTAATATTACCACAGACAAACAGACGTAGCTTTTTGAAAAAGTTTTTCTTGAAAACATAGTACCTCAAAACATAGGACCTCAGTTACGACATCTCTCGAGTTTCGCGCTGAAAACAATGTTGCTTATAAGCTCTATAGAATGTTTAGAAACGTCAAAGTGATCCGATACCAGCGCTGCTGTGATTAGTTCGCGGAACTGATAATATTCAAATCAAAACAAATCCCTATAAAAGACTGAGCTTCTATGAATTTCTCCTACGGATCCGTATTTCTGCAAAATGCAATCAATACTATAGAACTATCCGGAAAATTTTGTAGAACCGACATCACTGACTTTCATCTGTTTTGTTTTTATTCAACACAGCTGACGCATTCAAAGCACAAGGGAAAAACAATTAGTGAAAAAATTGCATGAACGAGGGATGCAAGGGTTGCAAAACAATGCTTTGGAATGTGCATGATAGAGGGTGCTAGTGTGCATGCAAAATACGCTTGACGATATTTTTAAAGAATTTTCTTCTAAGAGTTATGTCTGTTTGTCTGTGATTCAACCTTCAAAACATTCGTTATCAAGTGTGTCCATGTTATCACTTAAATTAATGGAATATAGAAACGTAAAAACCGTCATCCCGCCGAACACGCAGCATATAATGTAACTCTTTTTCCCGTTTCTTTGTAATTTAAATGAAGCTTTACAGTCATATCGCCATGCCTCCAAAACTCTAGATTTATAGAATAATAATATATTTCCTTGGAATATTCATAACTAACCTCTGAGCAAACCCTTCTAAATAGTCATAATTCTGCTCAGAAACATATTTGAATTCTCCTAAAAATTCTCCTTTAAATTTCCAAAGAACTCATTTAAAAAAAAATCGCATTGAATTCTTTCAGAAATTTGCTGCTTGTAATGGATTCTGATATTTATTGGAATTCTTTTGAAAATATCTTAGGAATTTGCAACAGTTTTCTCTAATTGTTCTCCCAAAATGTCCTTGGTATTCAACTCGAAATTTTCTTTCATTGAACTCAGCAGGGATCGTCTCAAAGAAAGAAAAAAACGTTGTCCTGTGCGTTATAAAGTAGTGTCCTGCACTCAATTTTGCCGAGAGTAAGAGACCAGAGGGAACACGCAATGTGGGTAGGAGAGCACATAAACAGCACGAAGAGAACTCGAAATTAGCTATAAACAGTTCCAAAACCAATGTAAACCAAAACAACATTTTGGATAGTAGCATGGAACAATAGACTGATGCAAAATTTGAAATTTCCGCTCCACATTGGTCAAACGGTTCCATATTGGGCCTTGATTAGTCTCCCAAATTTTGAACTCATTTAGTGAGAAACTGACTTGGCACAAACCATTTGAAGTTTATATGGGAATTAGTATGGAGAAACCATAATTTCGGTTCATATCGATCTCAAAGTTCACCAGTTCACTCTACTTTAGAAAATGATAGCTTAACTTGTTTAAAAAATTTTCAGCTACAACTTTGTTAAAGACCTCTTTTCGATCAAATGTAAGGAACAAAAATTATTAATGATTCAAGTCACTGATGTCTTATGATTATGCTCAATCAACTGTTCAGCAGGCAACATTGGTGTTTATGGCGCGTAGAATAGAGGACAAAAATCATGGCTACTATGTCACACTGCAGAATACAGTGTTGCCCACAATACAGTTGCTTAATCTTGCCATGGCAAAAATTTCAAATTTTGCATCAGTCTAATGGAACAATATTATACTTCATTCAAACTTTAAAAAAAAATGTTGTGGAAAATCAGCACATTCTGCATGAGCGCACTTTTTTTCAATAGCACAAGCTAACAGTTTTAGTTAATTGTACGGCTCTTAATTTTTGACGCAGATTTACAGTGTATCTCAAAATTGAGCGTACAGCTGTCCGTACATTTCAGAAAAAAACAGTTGTACGAACACAACTTATAATGATAGATTTCTTATTTTTGAACTGCTGGGTCATCAACCATTTGTAGGTTATCTGCATAGTATTGGACTTATTTCGATGAGTGTGTACGAAGTTTTTAGAGCTATTTTAGAAAAACTAGCACCCGAAAAAAAAAACACATTTTCTTGAAATACAATGAGCCAAACATATTTAAATTTTGCTAATCTGTTGTTTGTTCCTTGACCTGCAATAGGGTTAACTACCCCATTTCCGGCATATGAAGCACAACCCGCACTTAGTCTTTCTTAATCTAGCGCAGTTTAGCACCAAACGGAATGTTATTATTACTGATGGCTTCCAAATTTATTTGCCTTTCCGTACGTACCGTACCGTAATAATAATAAAGAGAAACCAATCGTTGAGATATTGTCATAAGTCTAACACTGCTTCTTGACGCCAAACTCGGCCTACGGATTCGAAACTCGGTCTAACGCATTGAAACGCCATTGAAACGCCACTGAATTCACTTCGGCCTATCGGATGATGATAAACATTTATTCGGTCCGAACGCTTCTTTTGTTTTTGGGAATAATAGGTGCAAACCTTCTTACCACGCGTTCTCATTGACTTCGTTCGGTAGCTTATTAACTAAAGTATCGTAACAAGTGCATAATTGACTTGTTGACTCTGAAATCATGGATTTATTTGTTATTTTCTGCTCGATAGGCCCAAAATGGGCGATTAGGCCGAAGTAGTTCTCTACCTTATTTCAATTCCTTTATTCTTTGGAACAACTATGGCTAAACCTCTAGTTTTATTAATGTGATTGTTTCTTATCTTCCAATTGAAATGTTGAGTACAAATGGAATCTCCTAAAGGTATTTACTTCCTGTAATGCGGCAATCATAATATCGTTTGCTTGCAATATTTCATCAATTTCTTCCCTTTTATGTTGGTCCCTGCAGCCTTTCACATTCCGACGAGCTATCTTCAATACCTTGTTAACAGTTTGTTCTCCTTTTGCACAATCGTTGTTACTACTAGTACTTTTGTTTTCCTGATTGCATCTGAAACTGTATACCCCCAAAAATGCACAAAGTATGATAAAAGTGCACGTTTCCGTCAAATCGTTTTTGGTGTCTTCGGAGCACTTATTACTTGCACCATAAGGAATAAGACGGCTCCAAGACGATTAGACGGAAACTCGCATTTTTATCATAATTATCATTTTTTAATAAGTGAAAACGCGCTATATGAAATCATGTTTTTTTTTCAGAAATGAGCAAGCTGCAAAATCCAGCCAAGGTGGCACTGAGGCAAAAGCTCAAATCCGCCCTGGGCTCCATGAGTGTTAGCTCTAGAGCTTCCCAATCAGAAATTGTTACCAAAAAGGTACGGAATTAACTATCAATAAATAATTTCCACTCATTGTTGAATTTATCTTACAGCTATTCCAACTACCATTCTACAACAACTGCAAACGGATAAGCATCTACCTAAGCACCGAACGGGAAGTGAGCACTGTTACTTTATTACAAGAAATGTTTCTCCAACGCAAGGAGGTAGGTCTGATATGAATTTTTAGCACTTTAATTCCACCCCATCCAATCTTTTAACATATTACCCAAACCAATCTCCATTGAGACGTCCTTAAAACATTCTATCCGTCATTAATCATCACTAAACAGCGAGCAAAATGACGACATCCTGTTTGACCGTGAAACCATTCATCATCGGTCGCCATCCTTTGTCTCCCACTGCCACCGCAGCACTCGTGATCGTCTTCTTCGATTAAGACATTCCCCACTTTTCCTACGTGCTCGGAATGGGAAATTTTAGGAATGCACCCATTCTTCCCCACAGCTCGAGTTCCACAACCATTCTAACAACCATTACCATCGTTATTAAGCTTATTTCTGCTCCGTAAAGCTTCTCCATTTACCATTCATCGTGCATTTTCCTGTCACATCTTCTGCAGATTTTCGTCCCAACATACAACCGAACCACGATGCGGATGGTGAAAATCACCAATATGGCCGATTACGACAGTCTTCCGACGACCAGCTGGAATATCAAACAACCGAACTTTGACAGCAGCAAACGGGAGGATTGTCTAGCAACAGGTGGGTGGCAGTTTTTTCCATGTGTAATTGTCCTTTATTCTCGCACTGCTAAACATATTGAACATCTATAGGAAAAGATGTGATCATGATGATTCTTAAATTCAAATAGCACTCCTAGCTGAAGGATATATTTAAAGTTAAGTTGAAAAATCAGATGTATTTTGAATAGGTTAATTTAAATATTCGGCGACCGATAATAATTGTATATTCATTTTCAGACTTTGACTAACCGTCTCGTAAATAATAACAACCAACCGTATAGCAGTATAGGCTATGAAACAGAGTATGGTTCTACCTGCCGTTGATTGCGCCTTGCGCTTAGGCAAAATAATTTGATGCGTTATGTTTTGTGTTTCACATTAATAAAGTAGTCTCGTAATCGTAACGCTCATAAAAATGCCTGAAGATTTTGTTCCGTGATGGATCAGAAGATTCTTGTTGTTTACTCATATTCTTATCTAACATATTTTAATCAAATCTGGAGTGCTTTTAAAATAGGTCGTATGTAACAAGTGTAAAAAAATTGAGATTTTAAAGCTAGGAAATTCTTCTCAAAATACTCTATCCACTGGAAAAATTTGGGTCCGCTACCTTATTTCTGCTTCATTTTCTATGGAGGTGACAATGGTCGTACGTACCAAATTTGTCAGAATCGTAAAAACCGTGACAGAGTAATCATCATAATACTTTGATAAACCGTTAAAATTCTCACGTTCGAACGTATACCACGGCAGGCAAAATGTATTTAAACGCAATCAATACTTATTTCAGCCGATAGTAGCACTCCTACACCGTTTAAAAAAATGTAAATTTCTGCGAGATATATAGCACATAAAATGAACGCTAGATTTGACGTAAATTCACACGATATTTCGTGTAAATTTAAGCGCAATATCGCATAAATTAGCAATATTGTATGCAAGCTTGTAAACGATTTCGTTGTTTATGCCAAGTATAGCTCAAAATTACCAAATCAAGAAGGACTCCAGAAATGCATAACATTTTCCTGTAATCATTACTTAAGTCAATTGAATTTTTAGCTAGTAATACCTTATTTTGCAACTGAAGATTATTAGCTGAAAAATTAAGAATTCACCTGAAATCATTTATTCAATCCCAACAATATTTAATACAACCTTAATCCCAATGTTTCTAAAACTTCATGTAAAAAGAACATGTTTTATCATTTAGCAATTGATCAATGATGAACATGTTACTACACAGAAAAAAAAATGCTGAATTTTAATTATCGCGTAAAATCTCCCTTCGTTTAATTTTGAGCTATAATTGGCATAAACAGCGAAATCGTTTACAATCTTGCATACAATATTGCTAATTTATGCGATATTGCGCTTAAATTTACACGAAATATACCGTAAATTTATGCCTAATCTAGCGTTAATTTTATGTGCGCTATATCTCCCAGAAATTTACATGAATTTTTCGAACGCTGTATGATCTGTAAACATCATGGCCACGGATAAATCCTTACCAGTACACAATGTGAAGTGAGCAACAATTCGTAACTTACCCTAGTCGATATCACACGAATAATTATCAGTACCGTAAAGGTCTGATTTTGGCATCACGTTTGCAATATCTTTAGTTTGCTTGTGCTCTGCAATTGAAAACCACATACTCTACACAGCAAAAAAATCTTAGTTTTACTGGCGATGTAAACATCCATGCATACAAACATTCATGCATGTAAACTTCCTTTTCACGTAAACTAGCAGCTTGCAAGAAATGTTGCAAACAAAGGTGGACAGTTGCATACAATATATGGAATTTTGCATAACAATTCTCATAAATTTACACGATCTATAATCTAAACTTGTATGATATATGACGCTCCATTTATGTGCATCAAAGTAACGGAAATTTACACTACTTTTTTGGCTTATATATTTAACATTTTTCGGATAAATTTGAAGCTTTGCAAATTTTTAATACCTAAGAAAGCAAAGAAGTCAAAATTTATGTGTTTCCAAAATCAAACACATAAAGACTGGAACGCGCAAAAATTGGTCGACAAAAAATAATTTCTTTCAGTCAAAATTCATATCACAAAAATCTTCTTATTTTTCTTTTGGTAGTTCAATTCATACACGGATAGAAATCTCCTTATACCTTACGGAAAATTTCTATTGCTTTTTATTCATAAAATGTATAAGTCAACTAATAAGCAGACGCCTTGCAAAAAGTTAATGAAGATCATGTGTCAAATGAAATGTATAAGCGGTCACACATACATGTTATGCATTTTTATAGGACCTATGTGGTTTTTCTTATGGAATGTATAAGGCTGATGTTTTGGCAAAAATGTATGAGTGAAACACATGAATAAAATAATTAATTTTCATTTCGTGTATATTTAAAGGAAAAAATGTTCGTTTATTCTTTTGGTTTGCCAAATTCAAACTGCCGTAGCTTCCGCTTTACCCCTTCCATTAAATCTTGCACAGTGGTCTCATCGACCTTATTCACCGCCGAGCGCCAGTTAGATTGAAACTGCTGCTCGTTTTCCATGGATTTATTAGTTTTTTTTTAGATTCCGTTTGACCAAGGTCCAATACCGTTCGATAGGGTGGAGTTCTGGGCTGTTGAGAGGGTTGTGTTCTTTGGGTACCACAACCACGTTTTACGCATCGTACCACTGGATTGCCTTTTCCCATAGTGGCAGCTCGCCAAATCTGGCCATAAATAGCACAGGTCTATTATGTTGCTTTAGGAACGGCAGCAGCCGCTTTTCCAGACACTCCTGGACGTAGATCTCTTGATTGATGGTTCTCGTAGTAATGAAAATGCAGTTTTTTAGACCACACGTGCATATGGCCTGCCAAACAAGATATTTTTTCGGGAGCTTCGATAGTTTGATGGTTTTGAAAATTTCAGCCACCTTTCCTTTTCCTGGTGTAGTATAAAAGTCCTGTCCCGGAAGCTGCTTGAAATCCGCCTTCACATAAGTTTCGTCGTCCATGAACTAATGCGAGCAGATTCATATACAACTTTCGGGACCGCTGCTTTGCCGACGTGTTTTGTTTGTAATCTCGATTCGCCACCTTCACCTTCTTAAACGTCGACAACCCGGCTCGTTTATTGACCCGCTGCACAGTAGTATGGGAGACATTGAGTTTGCCAGCGACGTCCTGGATGGAGAGGTAAGGATTCCGCTTATATTTCACCGCCACCTTCTTCGTCGTCGCTGCCACGTCCGAATTACGATTACCGTCGCTTCCAGGCTTCTTGGCGGTCGACAGACGCTCCCCAAACACTTTTAAAACGTTTGTAATGGTCGATTTGGCCACATCCAGCAATTTTGCCAACTTGGCGTGTTAGAACGTCGAATTCTCTTGCTGCGCGAGCAAAATTTTGACACGCTTGCTTGGACGTCATTTTGAAAACTGGAGAGCAAACTGTGAAAACTCATCAAAGCAACCATTGTGTATACACTCAACTTCCTAATGCAGCATTTCAAGTTATTTATGCATTTTTAACAGAAACACACCAATTTGAAGTTGGCCAATTTTTGCACGTTCCAGACTTTAGTTTAGTCGAACAGAAATTGTTCATCTTGTGCTGGATAGTGTAAGTTGAGGTTTTTCCCGATTTCTTCCAATGTTGTATATTTCTCAAAACATTCAATCAACTAAACCTTTTTTTTTCAACAGGAAACGTGACGCATTTAGCAAGTTAAATACAACCCGAAGCCTAAAATGACTTTTCAAACGTTTAATCTTTTCATGATTCATGAAATCCCTGTGTTATCGATCGACTAATTTTCGAGTACGGATGTTAAAAATATTTCAAAAGGTAGGGGAAAGGCATGTAATGTCGGCATAAATGCCCCTAATTTGGGCTCATACATAAAATCAGCAATCGACTAAATTTTCAATAGCGACCAAAAATATCCATTGGTACCATCCCAATGACGCGTTCATCTAGATAAAATTGATAAATGGCAGATTTTTAGGGACGGGTCCAATTTTAGATCCATAGGCCAACATTAGAGCCATTTCCCCAATTTGGGCGATTTTTGAGTGTTTAAAAAAAAATTATACAAAATGCAAATTTTTAGAATGTTTAAAACTATGAACAGTTAAAACTGGACAAAAATCGAAGAACAAGAACTTGTGGTCAAACTTTTGTTAAATACATTTTATAACATTTTTTGTGAAAAAAATATACCTCTGAAATATTTAAAGAGTTTTGAGTTTATAGATTTAAAACAACTAAAGGACCAAGCACAAAACCAATTGGATGGATATACGTACTTGAACTGATTAATTTGAAATAAACAAAATTTGCAGTAGCGAAATTGGCTCTAATGTGGGCCTATGGATCTAAGATTGGGCCTATCGCTAAAAATCTTATGGATATTTTTATTGTAAATTTAGCCAATTACTGAATTTATGCGTGGGCCCAAATTAGGGGCAATTAGGCCGACATTACATCCATTTCACCTATTTGCGATCCTATTGGTCACCCTGACAAAAAGTATAAACTCAAGCGTAACTATTCAAATCGACGTATCTGCTTTTGTAAACAATCACTTCAAACGTCGATTTGTGGTAACTGCTAACTTACCCACGCAAACAAACACGATCATCTGGTAGGGGATCGTCCATTAATTATGTCACACTTTTAGGGGGAAGGGGTTTTGACGTAGGACTACGTCTGTGATTTCTATATCGGGATACACTTTGTGAAAACCGAAAATGGAACATGTAACAAAATTATGAAAGATTTTGAACGTTATTAACTCAGCTGCCCCTGGACAAATTTCAATAATTTTAACACCAATCGATCAGAAATACTAATACGCATCTGTAAAATTTAAGACTTCATCATTTTTCAAAATGTCACTATTGAAAAATGCATGAATGTGCAACTTTTATACTATGATAATTAAAATTATCACCGATTGCCTGCGAAAAGCGATTTCCCTAACACAGATTTCAAAGTTGAATTCCATCCGGTGGTCTTCTCCAGTATACAACGAAAGGCTGCCTGCAAGCAGCTAGTTATCAAGGCTGCCCACAACCGCAGATCGAATGCAGTTTCAATCCCTGTGTGTGGTTGTGTCAGGTCGTCGGCATCAGCAGCAGTAGCTGCAGTGCTTTCGGCACGTGGCGTTGACATTGCTCTCCAGTACACAACGAAATGCTCCAGCCCACATGAGCATCCATAGAAGGAGGAAGAAGCCGTACCGCTATTGATCGGGATCAGTAGCGCTTCGTGAGTCGCTGTGGGCCATCTATGTCAAGCGCGTCATGCAAAAGAGTGAAAACAGAGAGAACCCCGCTCAAATTCCTATTCCTACACAAAAAAAGAAGCTCCTGCTGCAGGTACCAAATAAGATATCTTATGTAAGACACCGTAGTCCTACGTCACCATTGCGTGCAACCTTATAGGGTTGTTCCTTGTAGTTTTTTTTTCCCCTAGGGGAATCTTTCCCCTACTAGCTGATGTTGTTAGTTTCTGTATGTGAGCTAGCAGTTGCCACAAATCGTCGATTGAAGTGATTGTTTACAAAATCAGATACGTCTATATGGTTAGTAACGCTTGAATTGACAGTTGTATAAATGCCTGATAACATCAATTTCAACAGAATAACAACAGTTGTCATGGCAACCACATATTCAATTTAGACAGCATTCTGACAACTTGAACCAAATATATAGTAACAAATTCAAGAATTTGTCACAGTAATTCGCGATATTATCCTTAATTACTTCAAACCATTTTCGCAACTTCATCGATATTTACCATTTTTTGCACAGGCTCATATTTTGTGATTTTGAATCAAACTGGAATTTTAAATTAAACTTGGGGCCCTACATATCACACCAATCAAACTAAGGCCTTGATGTCCTTTGCTGTCCGATTGCTGGGGTGGCCTATGTATTGCGAATATTTTTTTTTTTTTCAAAATAATGTATGTACCCTAATTTACAGGTCCGGACTGATTAGTGCTTTCCTAAACAAACTAAAACTGTAGTGTGGCACAAATCAAAAATATTGTATTAACAATATGGTCCACTCTTTCCCCAGACAACCAGAAGTCGTATAGCAATGTACAGACAGTATCGTAAATTGCTACAGTTTAAGTTAAAATCGCATATAAGAATGGCATACCTCGCATTATGTTTCAGTTAAATCGTATAGAATGCAAATTTCCGACTTATATGCGATGACTCATTTTTCCGTCGTACTGTATCACAATTTAAATCGGATTACATCGTAAGACTTTTCAAAATGAATTTGTTATTACAGATTAAATCGTATATGATGTTAAATCAACTCGTTTGAAATTAAACGAAAATATGCACGTTAATGGCCTCCACTGCTGTACGTATAAGCCATTTTTTTGCATTCTATACGAATTGTTTGTTTGTATATATGTATGTATATCACGAAAACAACTTTGAATATACGTGCAATCTGGTTGTCTGGGTCGTTTTCTCAGAAACACAACTTTCAGACAACACTAAAACCCTTTCTTCAAGACACACGCTATTTTTAAACTACCCAAATTTGGGTAGAATCCACCCAGATCTGTCAAAACTGAACCTACCCAAAAATGGGTAAAATATGTTGGGAGTGACAAGTTGACAAATGAACAACGATTATCGGATTCATGTCGATGTTGATTTGTAGCTTACGTGGTAAACTCTTAAAAGAACTTAGCGTTTTTTTTTTTAGAAAGCACATATAAAGGACTCAATACAAAGAATTCGGACTTGTGACCAGAAAAAGGACCCTAGTGATCATGAGGTGAACTTTCGGAAGATGGCAACTTCCGGTATGTTGAAAAGTGTAAAATACTCCTAAATGTGGATATTTCCGGAACGGGGACGACCTGTAGAGGCTAAAAAACGGTTATTGACGCCATTTTGGAATCAAATATGGCGACCTCCGGTTTGTGAAAAAAATGCTAAATACCTTATAGGTCAGAAATCAATGATTGACGCCATTTTATAATCCAAGATGGTGATTACTTCATACTGGTTCATAAAAAAGGGTTAAATACACCATGATATGGGCATTTCAGAAACGACGTTTATAGGCCGGGAATCGATCATTGATGTCCTTTGGGTATCATCTTCTTCTTCTTCCTCGCATTTCAAGCTTATTGCGTATGGCATATTAGCTTATTGTGTGCTCTCAACTTAGTGTTCTAGATGCACTTCCACAGATTTTAATTGAGAGCTTTCGATGCCTGTACCATTTTTGCTTTAAAATAATTGTGTGGCAAGTCCAATCATATTTCTATGCCCAGGGAAGTCGAGAAATTTTCCAACCCGAAAAATTTCTAGACCGAACCGGGAATCGAACCCAGCCACCTCCAGCATGGTCTTGCTTTGTAACTGTGCCTTTACCGACTGAGCTAAGGGAGGTCCCAGGGAGGTTTGGGTATCAAGAACTCCGTTAATTTCTATCCACTGGATTGATCTATCCGCATAATTGTCTGCTCCATGTCTATTCGGATAATCCGAGAGGTCCTCAGTGGCCTCCAGTGTTAATTTTCTGGTCGCAAGTCCGTATTCATTCTATGAGTCATCCAGAAGTGCTTTCGAAAAAACCACAAAGCTCTAAGATCATTTTTATAAATCGACCACTTTTACGGTTGTTCCGGTTTTCTTGCAGGACCAGCTGGTGCTCTAATGCAAGGGCGAAGTTAGATTTTGCCAGAGGATGGTTGGTCATCTGCCCAATAACTTTCTCAAAGACACCAGGACATTATGTTTCTAATTGTCCATCAGACGTTCGTTCTCCCCTTTAGTCTGTACTTACAGGTACCGCAGTTAAAAAATTCACATCACCTCCGAATGTTGCAGCAGCATTCGAAAGAACTGGAATATCTAATAGAAATGCGAGTATGATTGTGGAAGCAATAATAGAAGATAATCACACGAAGGCATCCAACTCATTTGATATACATTATCAGACCATTCGCCGTTTCCGAATGAAACATCTTGAGGCACTGGCGAAAGTAGTAAATATTTTATTTTGTTCTAAGATTCTAAACTTCTTTAATTCTAACATTCTAAAGTACAAAAATTTTAAAATTCTATGGCTCTAAAATTCTAAAATTCTTGGACTTCTAAATTCTTAAATTATCAAATTCTTCGTTTAGATTTATCCTGCTGGAGTGAGAGGTAATCACGCTTATCACTACACCACCGGTGCCGCCCTTTTCTTATACTCCAGCTACACTGCTTTCGAGTAGAGTTTCAATCGAATTACATGACAAAATCGAATCATTAACATAATAACTCAATACTGTGATTCTGGTGACTCATTTGGATTTGTTTTTATACTTTACCTACATACACTTTACCTAGAGGAAAACGTTAAAAAAATCTCAGTGAGTAATTAAATGTCCTCACTTTTCCGAAAAAAAAAACTGCTTGAATATGACGAAATTCAACCAAGTTTTTACTCATTCCAGAAGTATACAAATAGACTGTGTGAAATATCTCTCGATTTTCTTCATATTTAAGTTAAGAATGTTTTCCAGGGAAGATCGTTTAAATTTTACTCATTCACTGAGAAACCACACTTTTGGAAATGTTGACCCAATTTTGAGTTACTCTCATTGACCGTGCGGTGAAATTTCTCGATATTTCCCCCCACTGATGCCAAACCAACTTCACAACGCCATAATGTCATCATCCACCTTTGAATCTGACGAAAATAGTGTCATCCAAAATGTTTCCATTCCAGGACTGGACCTGATCATTCTACCAGGAGTGGGATTCACTCGCAGCGGTCATCGCCTGGGACACGGTGGTGGCTATTACGATCGTTTTCTCCGTGAATACTTTGCAAAGTTTCCAAACTCATCGTCATCCAGTGGAGCCGCAGTCCGAAAAACCTACCTCGTAGGGATCGCCTTCCGTGAACAAATCGTTCCCGAGGATCAGCTACCAACCGATGAGCACGATTTTCCACTGGATATGGTTGTTTGGCCCGAAGCAACAGAAGCGAATTAGAGTTGACCCAAGAACCGAAAAGAGGTGGATTTCTTTCGTCGGATTTAAAGCAGCCAACAGGAGTTTTAAACAATACTTTTATTTAAGTTTTTATTCGTTTCTTTCGAGCTCACAATTGCGCTTGTTTGTTCCTACATGTTAACGCTACTATCTAAGTATGTACAATATCCATTCGTTCGGTTTTATCTTAAAGCACTAAATGACTAAATCACAATAAAGTTAGCAGCGTTCGTTCTTTTATTCAGTTTTCCCACATACTACGTGATTGGTGATGGGATCATACTTTATCAATGAGTCAAGGCAGCTGCTTGACAGCACGGTTTCTGGTAACGTTCGGGTGAGTCATCCGAGGGAGAAACTTGAAATCTGTCCTGCCTAGTATGTATTGTTTCGTACGAAGGTGAACTTGGTAGGTACCAGACATCAACAACATGTTCTTTTGGATCGTAAGGTGCAGAATATTCCATTAGTGTGGGTTTGTCTTAAGCAGAGATATTCCAAGAAAGTAGGGATTTTTGTGAAAACTTCCTTTCTATCTAAAGCGTTCAACAGATGAAAGGCTCATTTCACCAAAATCAGTTGATTCATTGTGTAGTAATAAATAAACCAAGTGGTTTACCAACAACTTATGAGAGATGTATTTTTCATGGCATACTTCAGTCATAAAGTATTATAGGGCTAACTACCCCATTCCACAACCCGCACTTAATCTTTCTTAATCTAGCGTAGTTTAGCACCAAACAAAATGATATTATTACAGATGACTTCCAAATTTATTTATCTTTCCATTGGTACCGTAAGTTCTGATGAAGGGTTGCGAAATATTCGTTCATTGTTGAAAATACAAAACTGCTTCTGGCGGCTCAACTTGGCCTACGGGTTTTCTTGGGCCTATTAGCCATTGAAACGGCATTGGGATTCTCTTTGGCCTATCGAACGGAGAGAAAAGTGAATTCGCGTGCGCCTTCAATACATTTCAAGGTGCCTTTTGTTTTCGAGATCTTATTTTGCGTTCTTCAACACTTCAGCTATTGAATAGAAGCATCGTACCTAACGTTTGTTTGACACGTTCACGCCGGAATCATAAAAGTGATTGGCCGGAAATATATGATGTTTTGTGCTTGATAGGCCCAAAATGGGCGATTAGGCCGAAGCAGTGCTCAACCCTATCTCTGACAAAAACAAAACAAAAATAATGGCTTTTATGAAAATAATAATTTTTCTCGACCCCCGTGAGATTTGTTTGCTAGTTTCGCACGCGAGTTTATTCTCTCAGCGAGCCTCAATGAATGAGATTTGAAAACAATTTCCGAACACTGCTCAACAGTGAGTAGAAAAGTGTTTACTCACTTTTGAGTAGCTATACTTAGTTGATGAGTTCAATAAGTTTCAAGTGTGGAAGTCACCTCCCTGGCACTCGATTTCCGTCAGTGATTAATCACCAATTCAAGCATAACTTTTCAAAAAGACGTTAGTCGCAAAAACAAACAAATCGATATTTTGCTTCTAACCGAATATAAAATACATGCTGCTCCTACGAGTTAATGAAAAACAAGGTTAGAAATTTAAATGAATTATGGAAAAAATATTTAATGAACGCCCTATGTGATCTACTTTCATTGTTTTTAAAATGGTGTTGATACACACAGCTAAAAAAATGGTGTAAATTTCAGTTACTATGATGCACATAAATAGAGCGTCATATATCATACAAGTTTGGATTGTAGATCGTGTAAATTTATGAGAGACGTCATGCAATATTCCATATATTGTATGCAAATGTCCACTTTTGTTTGCAACATTTCCTGCAAGCTGCTAGTTTACGTGAAAAGGAAGTTTACATGTATGAATGCTTGCATGCATGGTTGTTTACATCGCCAGTAAAATTCAGAATGCTTTGGTGTGCACCCTTTTATTGTCAACATGACTTGACTGTTAAAATTTGATGATAACACAATAACTGCAGATACGCTCATAATGAAGCGTCGTATGTGAAAAAAAAACAAGCAACCCTTATCAATCAGCAGATGCGTCAAGTTGTTTCTAAGTAGCTGCAAAATGGATTTCAACGGGATTCAGCTACTACTAGGTATGTTTTGTTAAATATTCTTGGCTAAAACATAAATATTATAAATATGTTTTAAGATGTAGCCACCCAGAGATGATGCTGATAAGGAAAACGACTACACGAACTACATCAGATGTCAGCCAAGGTAGTTTACGACGAGAATAAGAAAGACAAAGTGCTTACCAAAGAAGATCCCACTGTTCGTCCGCAGACGTATCTTCACTGCAAAACAAAAACCGGTGTATCTGATTTGACGTATGTGAAAACCGTTCTGCCAAATATACGGATCATGCAGACACGCTAACTTGAAAGTACTCATTAATGAGTAAAAAAAGACCCATTTTGAAGAAAAGTGGCTTAACTCATTAATGATTAAACAATTTTACCCATTAATGAGTATCTGTTACCCATTAATGATTAACAATTACTCATTAATGGGTAACAGATACTCATTAATGGGTAAAAAATTTACTCATTTAATGATTTAAGCCACTTTTCTTCAAAATGGGTCTTTTGCAACCATTAATGGGTACTTTAAAGTTAGCGTGGAGTGTATGCAACAATCAAGGTGTGATACCGACGAATCAATCAAGGTGCATGTGAGTAGTACACAAGTAAAAGGTGTATCATTTTGTTTTATAAAAAAAAGTCTTGTCCGTGTTTGCGAAAACTCAAAATTTTTCACAATCCCTTAATCTAACTAATACCAGAAACAGGTTTTAAAAAATTGCATTAACCTTTAAATAGGATTTAATAATCTTATATGGACATTGCTATCCAATGTTTCAAATTTCTTTTCCAATATTACATTAGCCATTTTGAAAAGTTATGCTTGAATTGGCAATTGGCTCGTTGATGAGTGGAACTCTATTGCAAAATAGAGACCGAAGTTAAATAAAGGAAAAAAAAAATAATGGATGCGAGTAAATATAGGTGACAGTCTTTACAGAGATGAATTTGTTGCAACACAATGGATTTTTACGAGAAACGACACAGTTTTGCGCATTTTGCTCCATATAAGGCTATTTTCAAAATTTGTACATTTTTTTTAATCGAGAAAAAAATCCTTCCGATTGTAGGTAAATTATACGTTCAAATACATTTTCTCTGAATCATCAAGGTAAAAGGTTGGATACACAGAACTGCATAATAGAACTTTTAATGAATTTTTGAACTCTACTTTTCACCTTGATAATAAAGAAAAAGAAAAAAAAATCCCTGAGTAATCCATTGCCTTTCTCGTGAAATATTAAAAAGCTTCAATTCATATTATGATCATTTTAGGAGGAAAATTAGTTTCCATCTTGAAGGCAAATAAGTTCAATACATAGTTGAAGATGCTAATTTCAAATAACAGACTGTAGTGGTTATTTTTTATACGATAGATGAGGAGGAGATGAAAGTATAGAATTGATAGTTCCGTTTAATCGTTCAATCGTTGACTTCACGTAGAAGTAATACTAAACATGTATAGTTAAAGTAAGTTCCATAATAAATTTTCAAATATGTAACCGTAATTGCTTTAGTAGACAATGACTTCAAACGTCAAATTGTCGAAACTGCTTGCTCGCTCAACTAGCCCCACAATCAGGTAGAGCCAAACTTTGTCAATATAAAGTTACGTGCCGGAACTTAAATTTGAGTAAAAATGCTTTAACCTTTCGTTACTCGCACCAAATTTTGTAGCACGAGTACTCGCGCGTTTTACTTTGCACAACAGTACGAGTTTTCCATTGCCATTTTGCTGCCGAGCTACCATTTGATCTGACGGATATTCCCCAAACAACTTGTTTTGAACTAAACAAGCTACACGTTTATTACAGTAAACCTCCCAAAAATGAGGATAATAGGGAAAATGTAAATGGAAACCGCGTTAACGGTGTTCACACTACGTGGGATTTGACTTATTTGATTACAACATGAAATATCTCGAGTATTTTCTCTTGAAAATTTGGTTAGAAGTGGTTTATAGTGTATTGTTTACACTGTATTTTTATCGCTGTCAGTTTTTCGAAAGTTGGAAAAAAATGGTGTCACCCGAAAAGCAACGTCGCGAATTGATTATGTGCAAGCACCTGTAAAATCCTCAACTCTCTCATTGGGACATCGGAAAACAACTCGGAATCGTGCAGTCAACGGTGAGTCGTGTGATTAAACGTTACTACAAAACTCTGAGCTTCGAAAGGAAGGAGAAATGCGGTCAGAATGGATGTCCTATTAGTGATCAGGATCATAAGCGTGTCGTGAAAGCGTTTAAAAGGAATACCAATGCTTCAGTCAGGGATGTGGCCAAAAAGTTGAATCTGTCCAGGTATCTCGTTCAGAGCGCTAAGGACCGGGAGAGACTGCATACGTACAAAGTGCAGAAGGTTTCAAATCGTGACGAACGGCAAAATACGGTGGGAAAGTCACGGGCCCGGAAACTGTACACCCAGATGCTGACGAAGCCTCATTGTCTCATCATGGATGATGAGACTTACGTCAAGGCGGACCTCCGGCAGCTTCCGGGGCTACTGTTCTTCACCGCCCAGTACAAGTTTGATGTTCCGGAGGAAGTAAGGAAGCAGAAACTTTCAAAGTTTGCTAAGAAATACATGATTTGGAAAGCGATCTGCTCATGTGGCAAACGGAGTGCATCGTTCGTGACTACCGGGACTGTACACGGAGAGATCTACCTCAAGAAGTGTCTGCTTCCTCTGTTGAAGCAACACGAGGGCCCTACGATCTTCTGGCCTGATCTAGCTTCGTTCCACTATTCAAATGATGTCTTGGAGTGGTACGAAGAAAACGGGGTCACTTTTCCCCAACTCACTACTGAAAAATACTGGGCTATTATGAAGCAGGTACTACGGAAGCATCCCAAGGAGGTTAAATCTGTTGTTAAAAAGTTGTTCAGAAAGTCAAGATCTTTTTGTTTGTGAACAGTAGTTTAGAATATTCTCACTATGTGGCGCTAGTATGCACGTGCAATTCTCGCATCTATAATATCTCGAGATCCGGACCAGCTAGAAGTTTCTGTATTCAGCAAAGCTGTTAAGGTGATGAAAACATTTTGAATGGTGAAAAGTAGTTCAGAAATGTATCAATACGTGGCAGGCAATTTTAGCATATAAAATATCTCGAGATCCTGACCAGCTTTAGCAAAAAATAAATAACATGAAACGAAAAAAAAAAGTAGGGGAAATGGCTCTAATGTTGGCCTGTGGATCTAAGATTGGGCCCATCGCTAAAAATCTGCTATTTATCAAATTTATCAAGGTGAACGCTTTATTGGGACGGTACTAATGGATATTTTTGGTCGCTATAGAAAATTTAGTCGATTGCTGAATTTATGTATGAGCCCAACTTAGGGGCATTTTGACCGACATTACATCCATTTCCGCTATTTTAAAAATTCAAAAATGAAAATCTAACAAAAGATATGTGGCTCGAGGTTTTGCACTAAATAAGACTCAAATCGAAATAATATGATTCCAACGAACAATTTTCATGATTTAAAATCCTATGTTGGATATATTGAGTGTATCTAGCTCCTTTTCATATCCAAATAATAGAGCTGCATTTGATTCAGCATATGTCACATGTATACTAACGCAGCAAAGCGAGAGAATTCTGAACTCATTAGCTCACCATCCGGAAGAACTTTATCGCATGTACAACTTTGCCGATAACAGTAACTTTATGTATGGTGACGACCTCAATCTATATCACATACAAATATTTTATGTGCATACTTCTGAACTACTGGTCACCAGCCAAAAGGCTTTGACACTCTTAACAACTTTGTCGAATACAGTAATTTTCTAGCTGCTCGGAATTTCTAGCTATATCAAATATGATGACGTGTATACTAGTGAGAAAACTCTGATCTGCTGTCAACCAGAAAAGGTCTTGACCCTCTGAACAACTTTGCCGAAGACAGTAACTTTCTAGCTGGTCAGGGGAACTCGAACTATAGCATAAGCGAGAACTGTTCATGTATACTATAGCACCGCGAAGTGAGAAAATTCTAAACTATTGTCCACCAGCCAACACGCCTTGACTCCCTGAACAACTTTTTAAAATACAGTAACTATCTAGTTGGTCAGGGTCCCAAGATATATTATATGCCAGAATTACACGTGTATACTAGCGCCACGTAGTGAGAAAATTCTAAATTATTGTGTACCAACCTATAGGCTTAAACCTCCAGTAAAACTTAGCAGAAGACAGTAAATTTCTTGAATTCTTGATACAAGTAAATAAATGGGCTGGTTATGATTTCATATAATACAGCTAATTAAAAACCAGTATAAAAATAACATTGAAATATTATTGTACTTTCGGCGTGAAATACAAACAAAAAATAAAACAACAGTTGTTTTCTGTCAGAAAAGGTCAAAACTACCTGTAACTCATCTGGCCATATCCTAACAACTATTTGTTAAAATCATTTGCCTTTAAAAACACATCAAGCACAGGGGTTTTCCAAAGTGTGGAAAAAACTTGAGCTCAAAATGTTAAGAAATAAAGAATCTCGCCTTGGGTGAAAATAGCCCATTTTTTGATAATAGTAATACCTTACGGTAATCAGTATGGTTACTGTAGTTACTGTAAAAAAAAATAAAGTGTCAGTACACCTTTAAAAAATTACATTACAATAACTTCATATTGGTCAAACTTATCTTGCTTGATTGTGAAGTAATCTCTTCTTAAAGATAAAATTTCAAAAAATCTTGAAAATTCAGACCAAAATCAAAAATTGTTTGTTCTGAATGCCGAAATAAGCGTTTTGGCAAAATTTGGTTCAAACCGGTGACATCAACAACAGGTGGTGTATACACTTGAGTTTGGAATTACCCACATGTATACTAGCGACACGTAGTGAGAAAATACTGAACGAAAGAACGAAAAGATCTTGACTTCCTGAACAATTTTGCCGGAGACATTTACTTTCTATCTAGTCAGGATCTAGAGATATTTTATATACGAAAATTTCACATGTATATTGGCGCTACAAAGTGAGAAAACTCTGAACTATTGTACACCAGCCAAAAGGCCTTGAACTACTGAACAACTTTGCCCAAGACAGTAATTTTCTATCTGGTCAGGATCTCGAGATATTCGATTTTTTAACCAATTAAGTCAAATCCCACGTAGTATGGGCACCGTTTACGCGGTTTCCATTTACATTTTTCCTATTATCAGCATTTTTTGGGGTTTACTGTAATTAAAGTTGTAATTGTTTAGTTCAAAACAAGTTTTTCGAGGAATACACATTGGTTTCAGAACGATTGGTAACTCAGCAACAAAATGGCAGTGGAAAACTCATATGTGCTGTACAACAGCGCGAGTAACGGAAGGTTAAGTATAGTGTAGACAGTGGAAGTAGCTTTTCGAAAGATTTTCAGAGTTGGTTAGAAATGCTATCTATAATGAAACTTTAGTGTGATATTTTATTTGCTAGAGAAAGGTCTGAAGAGGGTAGGTAGATAGCTCCGCTAGAGTACGGCAGTATGAAAATTGCATAGAAGTTGAAAATGATCCAAGGGACATTAATGCGACAGTCAAACGCACACTTCTTTACCTAACTTATCAATGGATGAAGAGATTTGAAGTATATTGGTTGATATAATTTACGTGCTTAACTCTCAAACCTCACTTTACTTTAATAAATGATGAAGTTAGCATTTTTCTAAATGAAAAATCTGACGACAGATGATTGAGAGTTCAACATTATCTCAACAATCTATCTGGTTATCAAACTGATATTTTCAAATGTGGTTCATTCCAGCTCAAGTGGGTACAGAATTTAAACATTTGTGGTAGATGTCACCCATTTGAGCCAAACTTGGCCAAAACGCTTATTTTAGTGTTCATAACAAACGCCTTTTTTGATTTTACTCTAAAATGCTTCTGGGCTACAACCCTGGATGCTCAAGATTTTTAAACATTTCAACTTTCAGAAGAGATTACTCCGCAACCAAATGAGCTATTTGTGATCTTAGATCGTCAATCTGAAGTTTTTTTTAATTTAAATTTGCATAGGTGCACCCGCATTTTATTTTTGTTATAGTAACTACAGTAAACAAGCTGATTACCGGCAGGTATCCAAATTGTAAAAAAGTTGCGTATTTTCACCATGGGCGGGATTTTTTATTTTTTTTTTTTATAGTTTGGGGCCAAATTTTCACCACACTTTGGAAAATGCTTCTATTAGATGTGTTTCCAAGGACAAATGATTTGAACAAACAGTTTTTGAGATATGACCAGATAAGTGAGTGGTAGTTTTGAGCTTTTCTGGTGGAAAACTAATGTTATTTAATATATTTTTTTATTTTTTCTTGAAGTCCTTCACGCTGATGGAACAGTATTATTTTAAAGTTATCTTTCACATGTTCTGTGCAGGATTCTCACTATATGAAATCATAACAAGCTCATTTATTTACTTCTGTTCATAATTTAATTGTGGTCCTAAAAGTGAAAAATACGTTCCTATGATCCTATACTGTGCCAAAACTTTGTGCTTTAGAAGTACGTTGAAATCAGATAGAATAGCAGGGACATATATAAAATTTCAGTTGTGGATGACAGCTGCTACTTGAATAATACCCTTATTTGAGTAATTAATTTATTTTTTAGATGCAATCTCACGAGCAAGAATGCTGTTTGTATTATAGTTATAAACAAAAATAAACGTTGAACCAATTATTTTTCATTTTTTCAAGACACACTTTCCAGAACATAACAGTTACGTTCATGAATGGAAATTGTGTTTTCAACAAATGAAAAATAAAGGTTCAACGTTTACGTTTTATTTTTATCTATAGTATTTTTGCTCGTCAGATTGTATCTAAAAAAATAAATTAATTACACAAATAAGGGTATTATTTAAGTAGCAGCTGTCAATCAAAAACTGAAATTTTATATATGTACCTGCTAATCTATCTGATTTCATCGTACTTCTAAAGCACAACGTTTTGGCTGTATCCCATAGGAGCGTATTTTTCACTTTTAGGACCACAATTAAATTATGGAATGAAGTAAATATATAAGCTAGTTATGATTTCATACAATGAGAATCCTGCCCAGAACATGTGAAAAATAACTTTAAAATATTATTGTTCCATCGGCGTTAAGGAATTCTAAAAAAAAAATAATAAATAGCATTGATTTTCTACCAGGAATGCTTAAAACTACCACTCACTTATCTGGTCATATCTCAAAACCTATTTGTCCAAATCATTTGCCCTTGGAAACACATCAAGCAGAAGAGTATTTCAAAGTGTGGTGAAAATTTGTGCAGAAAATATTAAGAAATAAAAAAATCCCGCCCATGGTGAAAATAGGCCATTTTTGACAATTTGAATACTTGCTGGTAATCAGCCTGTTGACTATAACAAAATGTGAGTAAACCATTAAACATTTAAATTAAAAAAACGATCAAATATCACGAATAGCTTATTTGGTTGTAGAGTAATCTCTTCTGAAAGATGAAATTTTTAAAAATCTTAAAAATCCAGGGTTGTAGCCGAGAGGGATCTAGGCACTTCAGAGCAAAATCAAAACAGGGGTTTGTTTCGAATGCCAAATTAAGCGTTTTGGCCAAGTTTGGCTCAAATTGGTAACATCGACCACAGGTGGTGTACCCACTTGAGCTGGAATGACCCATGTTCGATATAATTTTTTTAATATTTTTCGCATAGTGAAAGCGCACCAAAAATTGCTTATCTCGTAGGATATCATATGTGCAAAATAAAGCCTCAAAGCTGACTTTACCTAGGCCTCATATTCAGTGAGCTAACTTTTCCCTTTTCTCTATCGATTCGGTTTTGCACAAAGTCTGTTGTCAGTAATTTGGCTTTTTTCAACAACCATGGAGGCACCTTATTTGAAGCGGATCCTAAAATGGCGCACTCAATAATGTTCGACTCTTTCCAATCTTTATTTTTGAAATGTTACTTCTGTTCTGTTATTAGTTCAAGTGCTCTAGGAAAGACGGTGTACCAAAAATCGTTTTTAAAATATCTTGTCAAAATCGAGATGCCATCAAAAATAGTGACAGTGCGTCATTATTAGGAACGTGTCAAATATGGTGCTGACACGGTATCCAACTTTTTACGCATCTCTGTAGTCTTATTTCAAAAAACCAAAAACATCGGTAGAAGACAAACAATTTTCTTTCTCTATGAATGATCAATACCTCTGCAAATAAATACACATTGAAAAATCTTCACATTGTAAAATGAATAACATAAATAAGCATGAATCTCTTTGTAAAAAATGCAATAAATCAATATCCCCATCTGTACTCCAATCGATTCAAATGAAATGTCCAGCATCGTAGGAATCGCCCCCCCCCACCCCTCCCCCGGATGTCCACACACACACACATATGCAGTGTCAAATCATGCTGCCAAACATCCGCCTTCCGCGGGTCAGCACCAAACTGACCACCATCACCGACAGCAGAAAGAACACCACACTCAGAAAGTAGAAGAACCACCGGCACCGATTGCGGAACTGTTTCTCCTTCTTCATCTTGACCCGTAGCTGCTCGGCCCGGGGCAAATCCAGCGTGAAATCCGACTCCGGACGGGTTGAGGGCTGTAAGGAAGAAGAGAGTGGAAAATTGTGGAATTAGATGGGCGAAATTCTATCGTTGTCAGAAAATGTCTGGAAATCTTACGTTACGACCAATCAAACGATGGCTCTTTCTAATTTGGTGGTCACTATAGCCATCGGTTAATTGTGATAGCTGTTTGACGACCACAGTAGTGTTACAAAAAAAAAACATTACCTTCAAACGATTTTTATTTCATCGGTGCCCAAAAGTCCCCACAATCTAATGATTGATAATGACAAACCTCATACTTGAAAACCGGTACCGAAGAAGATCCCCGCAAATCTAACGCAAAACCTTCACCAGTTCAATGTCAACCGTTTGGATTGTCGTCAAATCCTTCAAATCAAACGACAAGATTTTCGGCGCGTTAAACACCTTGAAAAGCCGTAAGGACACCCCCGGCTCGGCAACCAATAATAAAAAAAAATCCAATCAAAAGCGATTGATTGATCGCGTCCACGCTGACACTGAGACCACCGACTCACAGCCGATCATTGTTTGTCGCGTGTCGTCAATTTGATTGTTTGGCAATAATCAGAGGTTCGCAGCGGGTGCGTTCACTAAATTATTGATTGATTATGTAAATACATTCTCGTTTTTATTGTTCTCAGAAACCGGTAGCAGAACGTTGATTATACATGTTGGTTCACATTTAATACTTGATGATAGCGGAATCCAATCGAGATCACGGTTGTCAACATCAGATAACAATAAAAGGTGGATTGTTACCGGGTGAACGATAATGCCCCATTTTGTAGGTAGCTGCCATTTACAACGTGATTTTCCTTGGCAGATGACTAAAGGGTGATACGGTCAAAATTTGGTCAAGGGAAAACGCGTGTAAATCGGTGAAATCGTTTATTTAAAAAATCAAATTAAATTTCTTTTTCAAGTTCAATTAGTATAAAATTCAGGAAAAATATTCAGTTAGGCTTCCGCTTTTCCAAATCCGAATTGCCGGGCCTTACGCTTGACCCCTGCCATCAGATTTTGTACAGCCACCTTGTCCACCTTCTTCGCCGCAGAAAGCCAGTTTGCCTTGAACTGCTGCTCGCCCCTAGCAGTTTTTTGGTCTTCTTTAGGTTCCGCTTGACAATAGCCCAGTATTTCTCAATTGGGCGGAGCTCTGGCGTGTTGGGAGGGTTCTTGTCCTTGGGAACCACCTGCACGTTGTTGGCGGCGTACCACTCCATGGCCTTTTTACCGTAATGGCAAGATGCCAAATCCGGCCAAAACAGTACGGAACAACCGTGTTTCTTCAGGAAAGGCAGCAGACGTTTATTCAAACACTCTTTCACGTAAATTTCTTGGTTGACAGTCCCGGAAGCTATGAAAATGCTGCTTTTCAAGCCACAAGTACAGATGGCTTGCCAAACCAGATATTTCTTTGCGAACTTTGACAGTTTCATGTGCTTGAAAACATCTGCTACCTTTCCCCTTCCTTTTGCCGTATAAAACTCCTGTCCCGGAAGCTGCTTGTAGTCGGCTTTGACGTAGGTTTCGTCGTCCATTACCACGCAGTCAAACTTCGTCAGCATCGTCGTGTACAGCCTCCGGGATCGCGCTTTGGCCGTCGTATTTTGTTTATCATCGCGATTTGGAGTCACTACCTTCTTGTAAGTCGATAGTCCGGCTCGTTTTTTGGCTCGATGCACGGTTGTAGACGATACACCCAGCTTATTTGCGGCATCTCGGAGAGAGAGGTTAGGGTTTCGCTTGAAACTACTGGCAACTCTCTTTGTCGTCTCAGCGGCTTCCGGTTTTCGATTTCCCCCCGATCCAGACTTCCTGGCTGTCGACAAACGTTCCCCAAACACTTTAATTACATTTGTAACGGTTGATTTGGCAACTTTTAGCGATTTTGCCAACTTTGCGTGCGAGTAGCTCGGATTTTCGCGATGCGCGAGCAAAATTTTGATACGCTGCTCTTCTTGCTTGGACGGCATTTTGCCAACTGAAGAGTGAATTCCAAAATCAAAATAGGAGCAACATTCTACACACACACACACCTTCAAAATGAGGGGTGTTCAGGTTTTTTAAATGCAAAATTGAAAGAAATACGTCAAGTTGATATTGACCAAATTTTGACCGTATCACCCTTTACACTTGGTGTCGTGAAGAAGGCTCTAGTGGAACAATTATTGCAGAACGGCTGTGGAACCTATTATGTAACTCAATAGGCCTTTTCAATGCACCACTAATGTAGAGGGCGCCAGGCGAGTTCGAGAGGAAACGTCAACTAAACCGTTTGTTTACATCAGAATAAGGATTTTTCACATAAAAAATTAAAGCTTTTTTTTTATTGAAGATCTTGCCAATTTCCATCGGTAATTGTCGTATTTTACGATTCTCCACTGCTCTGAACTGATTTATGCCTCAGCTATTCACACACAAGAAATCCGGCAGATCATGACCACTAAGTTGAGGGCATTGAATTGATTTTTTTTAGTAAAATGAAATAATAAAATATGAAATGGCTACTGAAATATGTACAGGTTAAAATTGATAAAAATCTTAAATTTGAAATGGTAAAAAAACATGTTCAGTGAAAAATTGAAACATATGTAAAATTTTAAATCTAGCGCCCCTAAGAAACATGCTCATGAAAAATTTATCAAAATCGTTAAATTTGAAATAGCTCGCGCCTCTGACCAGGCATGGCAAATCATTTACATTCATTTCGTGCATTCATTTACAATCATTTGCTTTAACGTTTTTTATCAACAGAATTCCATAAAATTGTATATGAAATATTTGTAGGTTTTGTTATTAGCTACAACTTGTGTTAACAACTCAAATTTGTATCTTTTATGCATGATGAACCAAAGCGAACAGAACCCACCATTGTTTTTCAGTGAATGTAAATTACATTCACTGAAAAGTAATAACAAGTTCTGTCTACTTTAGTTCGTCATGCATAAGAGGCACAGATTTGAGTTACTAATAAAAGTTACAGCTAACATTAAGATCTACAAAAAAAATTGTATCATTTTACGGATTTCTGTTGATGGAAAAAGTTAGAGGCCAATGAATGTAAATGAATGCATGAAATGAATGCCTGCCCCTGACATACACGTTCAGGAAAAATTTAAAAGTATGTTAAATTTGAAATGACTGGCACCCCTGGTAAACATCGACAGGTAAAAATTGATCAAAATATGTACTGCAAAAATAAAAAAAATAAATGTTAAATTTGAAATGGCTTGCGCCTTTGATAAACATGTTAATGAAAAAATAATCAAAATGGTAAATTTTAAGTGGTCTAATATACATGATCGGGGAAAAATTATGAAAAGAATACATTAAATGAACTGTTAAAAAGTTCATTAGATTAAGATTAACCACTAACGGTGCAAAACCTTATTGGCATACAAAAGTTGGTGCGAATTAAATTCTTATAGGGGAAATGACGGCTTCGGCTTGACAGACTATTTTCGGCAACCCAAATTGAAACGCTAATTACACTGGATTTTCTTACGAAAACACTTCGCTGAATGCATTAAAACGATTCTTTAGGCTTTCAGCTTCAATTTGACTATATTTTTACCACTGAGAAAAAGCAATCTAGCAGGGTTTTCTTGAAATGAAACACACGCACTATAAAATGCTGCTGATTTCGAGTTGCCGATGAAAACACAGCAGTTTAACACGCAGCTCAAATAGAAAGGTTGCCGAATTAAAAGATGTTGCCCACAATAGTCGCTCTCACTAGAGAAGATTGGAGCTTTGTTGGAGTGTTTCAAAATGGTTTTTGACAATTCTTTCGACTGGAATTGTTAGAGCAGCTGGCAGCAAAAGATTGTAAACACACCAATACTGTATATGTATGCGTTAATCAGAGAAAAAGGCTATAGAAAGATGGTCGCGCATTGTACCTCCAATAGCGTCACATGTACGGTCGACTTGTTTCGCGCTCCGTTGTTTTGGAAGTTTTCTCGGTATTCGCTTGATATAAATTATCAGTTTTTTCTCACTAAGTGACTCCTGGCATAGTTCCCGGTAAATTGATCGAAAAGTGAGTTTTTTTTTGTAGTAGAAAGTGTCATTTTCGGAACGATTAATCCGTGCTATTGGTAATTCGCAAACCGATTTGGGCATCATCGTTGTGTAGTCACGCATACGCGCTCACGCATACCCGCTTACGTATCATCATCATCGAGTGTGAGCACCCGTTTCTACATCTACATCGTTCAGCAATCATCGTGCGCCTGTGTGCGCTGAGTACCGAGCCTCGATCAAGTGCACCACAACGAAGGTCATCCACGCAGCGCGTCTCTTCCAGCCATCTGTGTAAACGCCTACACATATAACGCTCGGTGGTAGTAGTATAGGATTATCAGATAAGTTTTTGTTTTTTTCTTGTTTCTTTTCCTCCCCCATTAGTTAAATTTTCATTTTGTATTTCTGTGTTTGTAGTGTTTTCTGTGTATTGTGTCTGTGCGTTCAGTGGGAGAGCGTTTTGCGCTCCCACTAGTTGAACAAAATGGATGTTTTGTCAGAAGACGACATGGATGACCATTCATCTCAGAATAATGATGATGTCATCCCTGGTTCGTCGTCTCAGTCTGTCAATGGGCAGGCTGAGAAAAGCTCCAGATTGCGGGCCTACCCGAATGACTCGACTGGCCCATGGGTTGTCTATTTTCAGCCCAAAAACAAACCCTTGAATGTTGTTCAGATATCTGATGATCTGACAAAGCGATTCTCTGCCGTGACCGAAATAACGAAGGTTAGGCACAACAAACTTCGTGTGACCGTCGCTAACCTGAAACAGGCCAATGAAATTGCTGTTTCCCAGTTTTTCACACTGGAATATAGGGTGTACATTCCAGCCTCTGATGTGGAGATCGAAGGCGTGGTCACTGAGGCGAGCCTGAACCCCGAGATACTGGAGAAGCAAGCGGTTGGCCGATTCAAGAACCCCTTGCTTCCTCCGGTAAAGATACTGGCCGTTCATAGAATGAAGTCAGTATCGCTCAGC